GGGGTATGGTCACTTATCCTCGATGGCCCAGCTGAGAGCTCACTTTCTGTGTAAATTATCTACCTGACACATCCTGCATAAAGCCTTATGCTTTATGCTTCTCTACTCTGTGCCTCAAGACCGATGTCAGGAATTCTATGTGTTCTTCCTGGGAAAACTCTCCAGCCCAGGCCTGGTCCACAACTCCATAGCAAACCCTCAAGGCACCCAAAGGTGCTTGGTAGAGGCTGGGGTTCCTGGGCCTTCTCTGTCACACCTTGTGTTGAAGGTCTCAGAAAGGCCTTCATGGGGGAATTCCAGACCTATTCTCACCCTGCTGACAACCATCCTCACAAAACATTGCAGTACTGCTTCATCAAAATCCTGCACATGTTCCCCTAATGCCTATGACAGGCAAAACCTTCAAGACTGGATGCCAGATTACTCAGACATTTTCAACTCCAGTGATGCCTCCCCAGTGTGGCCTTTCCAGCCACACTGAGCCACTTATTATAGCACTTCCTCTATTTCCTCCATCTTCCTAATGAAGACTTAACTACAGTTACTGAAATTTCCATCTCTGTGCCTCAGCCTCCTCATCTGTAAAAGGGGGTGAAGAATAATACCTACTCATACAGTTGTGGTTCAGAATCAATGGGTTCACATTCTTGGGATGATGATTGTCACCTGCTAAATCATAAAGCAGAGCTTGTCACCTGCTAAACCATAAACCAGAGTAGGTACTACCATTAGCGGAGCATGTCTTTCTCCTACATGGCTTGGTTAAATGAAACCTCCTTTGCAAACCAAACTCAGCCTCACAAACCAGAGCTAATGCCAGCTTTTCTCTCTCAGCCCATGCTAACAGATCTCATACTCATTCTTACCCTATTTTGCTGTATACGTTTATCTATCTCCAACATTGAACCATCACCATTCTGAAGACAGGGGTCTAAGTTATCTCATGTTAGTTGGATCCTTCAAAGGCCTTCCATAACACCTTGAACACAGCAGGCTCTCACTGAACATTAGATGGGTGGGAATTCATCCAAGAAAGGGAATAGAAGCAGGCAGCTGAGGTGCACAGCATTTTAGGGTTTTCTTTGAACCTGGGTATGTACTCTATGCCATCTATACTCTGGAGAAATACTCTCCACACCCAAGAAAAACTTGTGAATAAAACTCCTTGAAGGGTCCAGGGGATAAGCTGAATGTGATCCTGCATGGGGATTCTGGAAATCTATGGATCTGCTCTAACTGTAGTCAAATGGCATTCAGTGGACCATTTTTTTTTCTTTCCTAGAGAGTGTCTTTGGTGCTGGGGATTGAATACAGGGCCTCCTTCCCACATGCTAGCCAGGTATCTTATCACTGAGCTACACGTCCGTCCTAGAGAACATTCTTTTTTTTTAATATTTATTTTTTAGTTGTAATTGGACACAATATTTTTATTTATTTATTTATTTATTTTATTTCATGTGGTTCTGAGGATTGAACCCAGGGCCTCGCATGTGCTAGGCGAGCACTCTGCCACTGAGCCACAATTCCAGCCTGAGAGCCTTCATTAAATGGAATCTGTTAGGCCTCAAGCTAATAATCCTTTCATTTAGCCACTTAGAGACCAAGCCTTGCCCTCCAGAGCCTTACATTAGTGAAGACATTGCTTCCTTGCAATGTACAAACCCACTGAGTAGGGAGAACTAGGTAACAGGTGCGTGGTGATTTGGGTAGAAACCTAGGAGGAAACTCCTTAATGAATTCCATATTAATTGACCAATAAAGAGGAGAGATAATAGTCTGATGGAGTAAGGGACTTGGGGATCTCCATGGCTCACTCCTCCTCAGTGGTGTGGAGCCAAGGGTTATCCATCATTACACGTGTGTGCTTGGCGTGGAGCGCAGACACTTGCCATTTGGCTCGGTCTGGCAGTGAGGGTTGTTTTCTGTCAGGATGACTAAAAATCACACTACCTCAGCATCCAGAGACACAAAACAAGGCTGTTCACCTAATGACCACGCAGAGAATTAAGGGACACTAAAAGACCAGAGAAAGCATAATAGCAGAACAAAGGGGACATGAAGACCATTAGTGGAGCATCCCTGAAGCAATTCTCCACAGAGAATGTAGAAGGAACCCTTCCACAGGAGCCTGTTTTATTTGCAGAAGGCATGGTGGTAAATTAAAGCCTGACCTGGCCCATTCTGGGCTCTCTGGTTTCTCTTGGAGCCGTTCCTATCACTGCCCATAGGCCACTAAAACCTTCCCACAATCGGAATGATTGATTCTCTTCAAACCGTGAACCACAAACTCATGCTGAAAAACCCACTTCAGATAAGTCATTAGTTTTTTTTATGGATTTTCGAGGTCACAAGGAATAGGACCTGGAAGTCCTATCCTAAGAAGAGTAGAGGGGGGCAGTTGAAGAGGTGGAGGGACCTGGGCAAGCCACAGGAGCTGGGCGAGCCCCTGTTTTCTGCCAATCAGCAAGAGGCACTGAGGAAAATATAGGTCTCAGCGACCTCCTAGGCAGTGCTAGATATTCCAGGGCATACCAGAGGCCTTTGGGTTGGACCCTTCATTCCTACACTACAGGGGAAGGAAAATGCAGAGAGTCAACAGGGGCCCTGTCCTTTCTCCTCTGATAGTATGTAGAGTATGCTGAGCACCTGGGATACAGAAAACCAGAGTCAAGGAGAAGAAGGTGAGACTCCCTGACTTGTCGGGCTGGCCTATCAGCTAAGCTGCAATGGGGACCACTGTGGGCCCAGAGGATGAAGCATCCTGGTGACTATAGCTGTGGTCCTAGCAGCAGCCCAGAGGCACCCGCACGAGAAACCTAAGTTCTGTAGCTTGGCAAGTTTCGGCTCACCACCTGACCCCCGTTTAGCAATTCTGATGTACCACAGAGCAGACAGCTCCAGCCTGGGATGACTGCCTCCCTCAGCCCCTCTCCGGCAGGCAATGAAAGCAAGATCCACTTTGAAAATTCTCCCCCATCATGCAAACTGACATAGGCATGCTTTTCAAAAACCCACAGCCAATCTGTTGATCATTACTTATTTACAAAGGCCTTCGGGCAGAAAGTCCTGTAAAAACCATACTTGATATGGTATACACTAGCTTTTTCTGCTTGTGGAAAAAAAGTCCCCTGAAGGCTACCTCAAACCATCACTTTCTATTGCACATAAAATGTAGCGTGTAACACTAAAGTATTTAATATATATGGTATAATATATCTACAGGAAAGGCATTTGTGTAGAAGTATGTTACCCTGGATTTGGTAATTTGATGTTTTGCTGAAGGCTACGACTTAAAAAAGCCTCCACCTCGTACAGGAGACCTGTCATCTTGGTACCCAAGAGCCAACAGAATAAAGAAGTACCCTTAAGCAGCAAAACTTTGACACAGCTTTGAAGCATATGAAAACAGTATAACTCCTCAGAATTATTATTACTCAAGATCAAAGAAATGAGCCATACTTTACATAGCAAACAGGGACAGGGAATTTGGCTCCAAAGGTTTTAGATTTTTCAGACTTCTCTTTATTTATTTATTTGCTTCTCTAAATTTAGGCAAAGGAAAATGCCTGGGCTTCTCTTGTCTTTAAATGGAGGAAACTATTAGCATTAGATAAGACGATTACCTAAAGGTGAATATATAGGAAGCGAATGCTTGTTTAACAACTGGCATCATAAGAAGGAGAAGCTTGGGAGTTGTATTTTATTCCTTTTCCTACACTATATACAGGCATGGAAATCAGTCCACAAGCAAAGCTGGGAGGAGGGGAAGGCAGAGAACGCCCAAACCAACACCTATCAGGAGACCGCAATAATGGCACAGGAGATAGGGCTGGTGGTCTCAGCTAGTGGAGAGCCTATGTCCTCTACCACTAAAGTAGGACCTCCCTGTCCTTCCCATGTCCCAGACTGGTGCACGTGGAGGACCAGGGAGAAGAGAATGCAAAGGAAAAGTGGGGAATGAAAAATCACTGTTCCTGTATTTCAATAATCTAACAGAGGAGAGAGGCCTGTGGCAAAGCAAAGAGGAAAGGAGTGTGTGAGGAAGGCAGGTGTTTCCCTGGAAGGGACCGTTCAGGGTGGGCAGTGCAAATCTGAAATCACTCCTGTTTCAATGAAGTGCTAGAGAGTCAGGCGGTCAGAGGAAGTGAGGGCTGTGATTGATAGATGAATCACAGACACAAAGGAGAGATGAGCAGACAGAGAAAAAGAGCTGTAGAACTCTGTCAAAATTTGGTTTACTTGCTGTTTCTTAGAGGAGGTCATGGTCAACAGAGAAGGAAGGCAGGAAGGGAAGGAGGAAAAAAAGAAGGAAGAAGGGAGGGAGGGAGAAATGAAGGGGGAGAAAGAAAGAATAGAGAGAGAGAGAGAGAGAGAGAGCGAGAGAGAGCGCGCAAGCATGTTGTATTTCATAATTAATATTGCTTTTAGCCTGAGCAGAACTGGATTACTTTTGAACTTTGCTTTGGCAAGTCCACAGATTATTAGACTTTTTTTATCAGTCAAAATCAATTAACAGAAATTTGATTTCAATCGACAGGATAAAAGGAAGGTAATCTTCAGGTTCATTTTTGATTGTGATGATACATCTCACATATGGCCTTAAGTACAGAAAACAGTCCTCGGAGGGACTTGAGCAGAAAGAGACTTGCCACAGGCAAACTAACCACAGAGTTCCTCTGATTGGTTCCTGCCGTCATTAGTGCCACTGCTGTTTAGGAACTACACACAGACAGGACATGGTGACAGCTAAGACTTTAAAGCCTATGTATTTTTCAAACAGCTTTTCAAACTGTTTTTCATGACAGAATTTTTTCAGCTCTATCATTAACTGCTGACAAGCTGACAGAATAAATACTGCAGCCTCTAAGAAGCCATCTAAGGATCTGCTCCCCTCCCCCGCTGCGCTGTGCGGCTGGGGAGGGAGGCTGGGCCTGTGCAGGGCGGGGAGGGGGCAGGCAGGGGAGAAGGAGCAGAGAGGGGCCTTGCTGGCCCCTTCTTACCTCATCAGCTTTGGCGAGGAGTTGGGCGAGTTCCTCATGCCCCCGTTGCGTTGTTTTTTTTTGGGTGATAGCGTCGACGGCTGCTCATCTTCAACTGGAAATACAGGCAGCTCATGAGATTACGAATAGTTTGAGGACAGACTGTGAAATACAGGCAAGATATCAAAGGACACACACTCAAGGCCTCAGTCACTCACTAGGAATTCATGGCTGTCTTTTAGGACCCAATGACAAAGACCAAATGTGTTAGTCAAAGAGGCCGGCCATAGAGAAGGTCGAAGCAACATCTCTTTACGCTTCAGCCTTTGAACATGCACTTACAGCCAACTCAAACTGTTTATCAATGCCCTGCCATAAGGAAAAAAAAAATGTGATTCATCTGCATACTGAAATACATATATATGACCCGTCAATCGTTATTTTAAATTTTGGTTACATTGATAAGCGAATGAGTTTTCTTGTAACCAAAATCATCCATAACTACCATAACTACCAGCCCACTGCTTCTCCCCATGAACCAATTTAACTGGTTCCTAATCCCTGCAGACCAGAGAAAGCCTGGGAGAAGCCAGGATTCAAGGCCTTCAGGGCCAATGTTCCAATCAGTGGTGACTGGGAACATTGGCACATGTGGACTCAAGAATCCCCAGCCCAACTGGGCCCTTATCCCTCCAGCTGCCAAGAGAGAGGGCACTGTGGCTGCGCACATGGGTTCTTTGCTTAACCCATTCAGACTGAAGGACCGGGATTGGCGAGGCTGGAGAGCCAGGTTGCCGAAGAGCACCAAAGGAGGAGGAGGTTGCTACTGAATGATACCTGGGATGATGTGGTGGAAGGCAGGGATGGAGGGCAGCAGAAGGGGCTGGAAACCAAAGGCTGTTTTCCAAATGTCTAAACCACACAGATCGTTAAGCAATGGGAAGCTTCACTCACAAACAACACAGCACACTCTACTGCTCTTGCCCAAAGACACCCACTAATAAGCTTTGTAGATGAATTAGTCTGCCCCTGTGCTTCTTTTTAAGAGAGCTGCTTGATAATTAGCAGATGTGTACCCAGCCTGTCACCCAAGGGCATCAGCGGCAAAATTCTAGCCCTGCTCTCCCCAACCCCCACAATGCAGGCTAAAGCTGTAATGTCAAGAAGGAAAAATAGGATCCTTGGATTCTTATAGTTGACTGCAACACAGACTAGGAGAAAGCACCTCTGAAACTCAGAACGCAAGGAGGTTACCTTAAAGCTAAGAAGAGAAATATTAGCAGTGACAACGTCAAAAAAGGCTTCATATATGTTTTTAGTGTATGAGTCTTAGATGGCAAGTAAAGGCCATCTTAGCTACTTAGTATTATCCAGGAAGACCCATATCAGAGCATGCATTCTATAGTGCTTTCCTGAAGACACTAAATCAATTTAGTAGGTTATGATATACGATTCTGAAAAATATTATAATGATCCAACAATCCTCCAGACTTGCGCCAAAGTATCCCACTTTTTACACTCCCCTACTGTACTGTTAATCCAGGGTTGCCTGATTCTGGCTGACACGGGAAAAGGCAAAAAGAACATGGTGTGAGGTGAGGGTGACCCCAGAAGAAAGAAAAGCAAGAATGCACCTGCCAACGCCCACAGCTGCTCCCGCCACCTCCTGCTCCCTCCCTCTCTGTTCTGCCAGAGGCTCTACTCAGGCTGTGACCATATCAGTCACTTAGTGCTCTAGGCAGGGACTATGTGGCGGGGAGGATATCGCATCTTATCAGAAATGAGTATCCACAGCAAATCACACAGAGACTAAACAGCACTTAAAAGATTAAAGGAAATAAATACAAGTCACATAAATGGTATTGAAAAAAATCACTTAGAGTTGATATGCATCTCTCGGCAGCAAACAGGCTTTCTGAGCTTGACCCGAATTCATCTTCCTTTCACAGGACAGGAGACTGAGCATCTGAGGCAATAATGTGGTAGAAGTGTGTGTGTGTGTGTGTGTGTGTGCGTGTGCGCACGCGTGTGCACATGTAAATACGCTTTTACACTTTTCCCATCTTAGTAGAAAGGACTGCACCAACTTCATCTGTAATAGAAGGTCACCTTTTATTATGGGCCACTTGCACTGTTATGCTGTGTCTGGGGTGACCTAGATTAGTTGGTCAGCATGCTAGACTTGACAACATGTGTCTTTGTGTGTGCATGTGAGCGGGTCTAGTAAGAGTGCAAGTTCTGTCCCCTTTCACAGAAGTTTCCTTACGATTCCAATGGAATACCCCCAAAAGCTCTTTCATCCAACCAAATCTCTATGGCTAGCTTTATTGGAGGCCCCCAGGTGTTGCTATGGTTGTGTTGTTCCAGAACAAGTCTCTATTAGTTAGATACAGACAGAAAGTCACCTTCGCGGGCATGCCTCTGGATTCTTCTGCTTGCCTTGTGCTTCCCTGTTGGCACTAGGCCTTCAACAGATAATCCCTTTGGTTAAGTGCCCATCATCCTTATACCTTGTCACTGGCTGTTTACCTGCACAGATCTTCAGATGGGGAACTTGCAAGTTAATCCCTGTTAGCCAGCTCTAGAGAGACAGCTCATTTTGGTAGCGAGGTTACACTGTCTTCTGTGCAAGGAAGCTATTTATTTTCATTGCAACTTGTAGAGATCATCCATCATAATCATACTGAATTTAAACTGGAATTTGTTCTCTGAAATGAAACTCTGTTCAAAGCTTTCCTCCTGCACTTGGGGCCTGGAAATATGTTCCCTGAAGAGATGGGGGACAATGTCTCCATATTAAGTATATGAACGTTGTGTAATGGAGACCACTGCATCTGGCTCAGGTCTCACAAGAGAATCAGGGATGATTTTTTCTTCACAAGGAGGATATAAACCATATTTAATTATTACCCTTTATAAGGATTCTATAAAGAAAGCATATCTAGGAAAACTTTTAGTTAAGCTATAAACTATAATTTTCATTTCATGGCTTCTGTGACTACACGAGAGGAATAAAAATGGAATTAAAAGGGAGACTTAAATTTACACACTTTCATGAAAGACAAATGTGTTGAAGTAGTGGGCTGCTACTTCATGACAACGCACATTACAGGTTCGTATTTAACCTACTTTTTGGCTAATTGCAATACACCTCTGTCTCTAGCCTTTTCACTTGCCTCCGTGCAGTGGGAGACACATGAAGATATGAACCTTTAAAGGAAACTGACTTACCAGCTTCTTTAAAACACAAACAAGTTCAGGAATCTAACATGGAATTTTTATAGGAGCTGAACTCCATCCAGTCTCCAAGTACTCATAAAATTCAAGGGCTTGTTTTTGCACATCCCTAAGTATAACACTTAATGTTCTGTTGTAACTTCCCAGCGCTCCCTTGTCTAATAGGCACTGAATCTAACAGTTTTACAGTTTGGGAAGACTCTGCGCTAGAAAAATGTCAGGCAAGTCTAATGAGGCTTCAGATCCCCTGGTTTGTGCTGGAGTTTAATTTAAAGTTACAATGATGTTTTAACATGTTTGCTTATACTTGACTAAAGAGGATTCATTATTTCAATGACATAACCTCCAGACAATGTTCTGGGGATTGATTTAAGATGTGGTGGTAATTCCAACAGCCTTAATGCAGAGTTGAACATCTGTAACAACATTTTATTCCGCTTTTCGTCAGCTTTCTGTTTTCCAGCAAGAGCAAGGCAACATCTTCCAGAAACACTGGCCAGGATTCGGGGCTTACTTCAAAATGATCATATAATTTACTAGATTTTTTTTAAAGAAATATCTGCCTAGCCAGGCTGCAAACATTGAGTAAGGGCTCACCAGTGTCTCTTTATAGGTCCTTGAAGTGAAATGTGACAATGGTTACCATCTTCAGCTTTCCTAAACATCCCAGTGTCTGTATGTAATGGACTCAATGGTCAGCTCCAGCCTGGGGCACATTCCCTCTTCCCCATTTCCCCAGTGTGATTCAGGGGGATGAAGCCCCTTTAGACTTAAAGGTGAGTTTGTTGGCTGAAGTTAAAAAATAGTTCAAAGCAAATAAATTCAGGAACGTAATAAAAGGCAAACAACCCGTAAACATGAGTCAACTAGCTATCTCCATTACGTTATTAATCACCACATCTGGAGAAATCCACATCTGTACACACTTAGCAGGTCATTAGTAATGTCATTTCACACTGGAATCACTCAGAGTAAGAGTCATGCAAAGTGGTTTGAACACAAAGCCATCTAGCTAACAGGGCTTCTGACCAAAGTCTGCAGCAAGCTGCTAGTTTGAGGGCGGGGTAATTTTAATGATTGTTTACTGTTTTTTATGGCTTTTCTGTTGTTTGGTATTTTGCTGCCCAATAAGCTAAATGCATGCTGAAATCCATGGTAGTACATCTCTCTCCTTCAACTGTGCTCGTTTTGTTAAAATGGAACACTGAGGGGTGCAGGACAGTTATCGAAAATTGGGAGAAGTCCCAGTACTCCTTCACCTGGCTCAGTCACAAGCTGAGAATGGGGAGTTGCGTTCTTGAACTCAAATGGGTCTTTGTGATAGCGTGATCTAGCTTCAGTCTTGACTGCCAAACAATAAGGAGAAAAGAAAACGGAAATTAATCCTTAGTGAAATTTTTCATTGCAAAAGTTCCAAACCAATTTTAATGTTGAATAGAATCATCACTTTGGATTAAAATGGAGGTTTCTCCCTCATGGCTGAATTGCAGGTATATTTATTTCTATTCTTTTACCCAGATGACTTCCTGAAATTCTTTTTGCTGCATTTTTGTCATCAACGTCAGTAGGGATAATATCTGTGAAAATTCAGAAGACCATCTCCTTCTGCAATAATTTCCAGAAATATACAGGGTCCCCCTCCCTTCTCCCCCAAAATACACGCACAAAACCCAGATGAGCGGCAGGATCAGATCCATTATATCCTGAAAAATACTGAAAGAAATCCTACAGAATAATTATTCTATTCGAATCCTTCTCCCTCAGTGTTATCTTGCTATTCATCTCAGGCCACTGGCTTGGCCAGCTCGCTGGGTGATCAGAATGCTGCCTAACTGAAATGTCATGGGTTTGTCACTTCTTAGAAGGGTTGATATGTAGGGCTAGGGTGTAGCTCAGTGCTTGCGAGCATGCACAAGGCCCTGGGTTCAATCCCAATACTGCAAAAACAAACAAAGAGAGTCATGTGTAGTATTTTGCATCATGAGTAAAAAGTATGTGTGTGTTTTCAGGCTATGAATGTTACATGACTAAAACTGAAAGTAAGGGTGAGGGCAAAATTGCTAGGATAGAGATCTATCATGGTTCTTTCTAGTTCTTGTGGGCTTATCAAACTTTACCCTAAGAAAAATTATGAAAGTCACAGTAACATGGTCCTTCTGCAATTCACCATAGACAAAATTCTCAGGACAAACCTCTTTGACATGACTTCCCAATTTGCACCGGGAAGGCTGGGCTAGTTAGGGCTCAAATGTGGTCAATGAGAGCAATCCCTGGATTAGAGCATGGAATACTTTCAGAGGATTGTTCTTGCCTTTAATTGTAGACCATCAGACCCCTGGCTGCCTATCACATGGATGGGACTGGTGAGAAGGTATGTGAGTTCCCTTAAGCAGTGATGGAGAAACAACAACATATATCAGATAAATAACCCATACTGCGAGTTGGCATTGGTGTTTGTTGAGAAGGAGCTCTTGGCTGCAGTTTCAGGATGAATCCCACACTGGGAATATGACATGAGCATCAGTGAGGTTGAGCAGCTAAGCATGGCTGGGATAAGGAAAGTCAGAGCCAAAGTCTTTGCCAAGAAGGGCAGGGGGAAGCCCAATATCAGAGCTTAATACCAAGGATATATTTCAAATGAGTGTTTCTGGTCTGACAATCTTGGGGTATCATATATCACCAAGAACACGCTGCACCATTATCAATAAAATTAATCCATGAAGGTATTTTTTGCAAAGATTGCAACAGATACTAATACACAGAAATAAAAAGATAAAGGATGCTGTGCCTCAAAAGTGACTCCAACGATCAACATCTCAAACATATAAAACTCTAAATGCACAATTTTTTATATACATTATCCAGCAGGATAACTTCACAACCTATAGCTGAAAAACAGGGAATACGTTTATTTGGAAAAACCAGGTTGAGGTTTATAAAAGGAGTCTGTCATTACATAAAATGAGAATGAAAAAGGATTTCCAAGTGGCCCATCTTGCACTAATAGGGGCAGGGAACACCCGCCCCATGGTGGGCTGACGGGGGCAGGGAAGGGGGGCTTGTTGGTGCTTTTTCATTTCCGGCTTTTGTGGAGCTAATAGGAGAATGGGGAGGGAGACTTTAAGGAACAATGGGTTATGTAGAAGTTAATCACAGGGTATATTTCTGGCACTATTCACTGCCTTGGAAACCTGAATTGTGTAAGTTTGAGTCCATCAACACAGAGTAATGAAAGAACTCAGCTCCTACATGGGAGAGGGAGAAAAATGCCATATAAATATATTAACAGAATCCACATGACCTGGAATGTGAAATTCCCTATAGAAATACCAGGCACTGAATGGATCCTCTAGAATCAAATTACAAGATGTACCTACCCATGGCACCCAAACAACCCCCACCCCAATTTCAAACTATAAGCCACATCAGATCTTGGTAGGAGTCAAACATTTACCAAAGATCCTGGAAGGAGTCAAACATTCACCAAAGCACCCTATATCTAGAATCTTGGTTTTCATATCTTCACTGGAATTGCTATAATCACTTGCCCAATACTATCCTGCTCAGTATTGGGTAGAAAATTCCTTTGAGAGATCTGGTTGCCTTTGGCCTTTTTCTTTCTTTCATTTTTTTTTTTTTTTGAATATACTGTCTCTATTGCCTCAAGGGCAAAGCAAAGTCTCAGTCAAAGATCACTAGGTATTAGCTTCTTAAAGATGAGACACAAGAGATGAACAAGGGAATTCAAAGAGGAAATGCACAATTGAAAGGAGAAATGCAAGCATATTCCTGAAATATTGCAATGGAGCTTGGAGATCTGGAAGGTAGTGGGAGATAGGAGATAATTTTCTCTTTGAGTCGAACTGGCAGGGAGGGGAGTTATAGAGGCCAACAAAATAACCTTTCCCAATTTCCCTCCCCTCCCCACTCCTGAAACCCAGCAGATGAGAAAGGTTTTCAGGCCAGACGTGACCCTGTTTGCAGCACTAGCATGTGCACTACATGTGTGTAAGGGACAATCCTTAGAGGAGGGATGGAACCTGCCAAGTCCCTGGCACTCCCAGCTGCCTTCTCACCTTTGTCACATTCAGGGGTCAGTCACCAAATTGTAGCCTAAAATAGGATTTTGTGCAGTCCGCAAGCTAGGTTACATTTTTAAAGGTTAGGGTGAAAAATCTAAGAAGAATTATATTTCCTGTCACACAAAAATTATAGAAAATTCAAATTTCAGTGGCTAGAAATAAAATTTTACCTGACCATAACCACCATCATTTGCTTACCTATTGTCCATAACTGCTCTCTCTCTATGACAGAGCTGAGTAGCTGCAATACGAAGCCCGAGACATTAACTAGCTGACCCTTGAGAGGAAACATTTGCTGACCCCCATAGCAAATCTTCTCACATTTTCCTAGCTTCCTCATTTTCCAAAAGGATGGTGCTCTTCCCAACCTACCAGGGCAGCCGAATGAGCAAGGAATGATACGTGCCATCCATTCCAAGCAAGCAGCCTTGGGAAAGTAGGGAATGGCAGAGATCACTTAGTGATTCCAATGCCCCTCCTACCCAGCCTGCCATGAGCCCTACTGGTCCTCACATGTTTGAGGACTTGGGTCAGGTGAGTTTCACCTTTTCCTACTTAAGCTAAGTTAGAGTCGTCCACCCCGTACTTTGAGAATCAAGGCAAACCACATCTACCGGGAGCAATTCCTCGAAGCTGTCAGTCCACCCTGCGAGAGCCCCATACAAGACAACAGATTAACCATTAGACTAGATATGTTGAAAATATACAGCTTCAACCTTTCCCCAGCTAGCTCAGAGCGATATATAGATGATTATTTCAACCGTCAGCTGCCGCATAGATTTAAACCCCTGCACAATAACTCCTGGATTCATCTGCCCCTTGTCAAACTTACACAGCTTTAGTTGGAGGATACATGGTGTGGCAGTTTCACTGTGAATCCAGAATGATCCAGACGGCTGCTGTCTCTTTGTTAACAGGAAGCCAAACTGATGAGTTTGTAATGCATTTCTTATCAAAGGTAGTTTCAGAAAAGAAAATGTGCCCCATCAGTTTGGCTACAATTTCATATAGACCAGATTACGGGCTTAATCAGAGCATCTCTGTTATTTTCTTGAAGAAATAGATAATTCTGCATCCATCCCATTAAAATCATTTCATGCCAATGAATTATGTATTTATAAATTTATAATTATCTAGCCTTGATTTTTCCCCTCCTGCAGTATACTTAATAAAATCATCAGCTGCAGCCTACAAAGCCATGGCGCTTAATAGATACGAACATGCTAATTTATTTTTTTAAGTGAATGCTGATGTTTTTGAGCTGTGCGTCGAAAATGATCATTGTGAATAAAAGGGATTGCAATTTTCAACACACACGTTTAACAAAGACAAAATGGACTGTAGTGGAATTTATGAAGCCTGGAAAGGAACTTTTTTGTCCAATATGGCTTATTATCCAATAGATTCAGATTCGCTCTTGGTCAAATCAGGTCCCTGTGCTATGCATCAAGAGAAAATGCCAATAAGATGCTAAACACTGTTGGTGGCACAGGGAAAGGGTTCACTTAAGAGGCTGCAGGCTGCCAGCTTTCTGTTGTCCTTTTTGTTTTCATGCCTACTAAATTCAGTGTTTAACTATTTGCATTAAAATCACTATTTATCATATTTTCATTTAAAATGATGACATACTGTTCATCATGGATTTTTAAAAATATTTTAAAGACATTGCATGAATCTCTTGATTGCTGAGGTTTGGGGGGACCTCTTAGGTTTGATGACCAAGGCAAATGCCTCACATGACTCTCGGTAGTCCCCTGCCTGGCAATGGAAGTTTCTTAAGGGCACTTGAGGTGCTGGTTCTACCACCCTGCAGAACTAGACAAGGCAAGAATAAAACATGAGTTATTTTTTTGGATCATTTCATGCTGTTTGCATGAGATTGTTAGGGAAGGCCCTGGCCACACGTGCATCCTCCTGGATTTACAAACTGTCAGACATCCAAAGGAGTAAAGATCATGCTGCCTTAGGAATCTGAGAGTTGCCACCTGCCCAGGGTGAGAAACAGAAAAGAGAGATGGAGTCAGGTCTCTTGTGAGCTTTATTTCATCCTACATCGATTCTCCTGGTTAACACAATACTAGTTTACATTTTCACTCTGGGGCGAAAGTTTTTATTTGCTTATATATTTTGACTCCCATCTGATCTTCTTTCTCTGTTTCTTTCCCCCTCCCCCAAACAGCTTCAAATACACATGACTGGCAGAAGACGTCAGTCATATTTTCATTTCCATTTTCTCTTTGCTATTTACATCTTTTAATGTTTGC